ACATTTTTAACATTTCCCTTTGAAAAATGCTATCTAATATGGCAAAAAATATATCACACGTTGGTAAAACAGTTTCTTCCATTTCGCTTATGTCAAAAAAAGTGCCTGGTACGTTTTTTAGAAGTTGTGCATAATAATGTTTATTTTGATAAAAATGTTATTTTTATACCATATTTTTCCAGACCTTTTTTTCAAGGATATATGTGTGTGTGTATATATATATATATATATATATATATATATATATATATATATATATATATATATATATATATATACATACATATATATATATATAGTATATATATATAGAAATTCTATATTTTAATGTAAACTTTCCATCGCCATTCAAAAAAAAATTATTTAAAAAGCATTATATTAACTTATATTAACTTATATTTATATTAACTTATAGTTATAGTTTAAAAGCTGTTGCATCACTGAACCCATTAATGGGATAATTAGTGTTTTATAAAATAGCGTGGCAAGATTATCAAAATATCATCCAAATGTTCAGATTTTGTTGTGGGATTTTGGTCAAATAAATTTTGCATTTTAGTTTTGTGAAGGGCTATTAGTAAATATTTGTAAATTATTGGATTTATGGTGGCATTTTCTTATAAAGTTGTAAATTTTTAAGAAATGGAATCAAAACTAAAAATAAGAAAAAAACGCTATGCAAAATAACAAACTAATAATTTTTTTTTTTATTATCAGAATACTGATAAAAAGAAAAAAAAAGTCTAGAGTAAGATCTAAGAGATAACGAGAAAAATTAAGAGCCAATCCTAATAAAAAAGCAGCTTATGCTGCTAAAGCAAAATTAAGAACTGTAAAAAGTAGCACTCTAAAAAGGAAACTTTAAAATCTCAAAGTCTAAGCTCATCTTTTAAAAACGTTCAACAAGGAAGAAAAGCATTTAAAAAAGTTATAAAACTACAACCAACTTCAAGGAAGAAACAATCTGAATTTTTTTTTATTCATTCAAATAACTCTGCTTTTAAAGATAATTCGGGTCTACCTTCAGCATGTTCAAAGCTGTATGTTCTTTCTGAAAGCAATATTTTAGCAGTTGTAAACTTTTATAATGAAGATGAAGTTTCTTAAATACCACAAAACAAAAAAGATGTCACTCGAATTCAATTATCTGATGGAAAGACAAACAATATTCTGATACATCATTTTTATTATACACTAAAAAAAGCTTTCAAGTAATTCAAGGGAAAGCATCAGTACATAAAAAATGAATTCAGCAAATTTTTTGACCTTTGTCCACATATTGTGAAATCTGTTACAAAATTTCCGCATAATATTTGTGTTTGCAATTTGCATGAAAATATGCGATTTGCCTTAGATGCATTAAAAAAATCAATTCAAGCGTCTTTAATCAAAGTAGGATCTAAAATGATAAATAACTTTGTTTGTGAACTGTACAATTGCGCTTATGGCAAATGCGTTGCATGCAAAGGTATGAAACAGTTCAATAAACACTTTTCAATTATTGCAGTCTGGAACTTTGAACTTGGAACATTTGCCAGAGTTTCTGATTTAACTGATCATACAAGGTCTTCAGTTATACCGTACATTGACAAAATCTTTCACTTTGTTCCTGATCGAATCAAAGAAGTAAACATGTTCAGTGATAATGCAACGAGGTTGACGGAATTGGAGCAATTGTTAAGCGAATCGCAGTTCTGAGAGTTAAATCTAGTCAAAGCGATATCAGGTCAGCAGCAGATTTTGCGTCAGCATTACAAGATTTGCAAATATCTGTAATTCATATGTCAGTAAATAACACAAGACAACAAAAAAATAAACTTGGATTCAGTTCAATTTATTTTATGTTTAGAATAATAATGTTGTTCCGATGCTATTTTCACCTGAGTATTATTAAAAAGTATTACAAAATAAAAAAACTTTTTTCAATTTTTTTGTTTCGTCACTGAATGTTGGGTCACTGAACTGATAGTTTTTTTCTGTAATCTGTAAAATAAAATGATATGAAAACTTAGTTGTTTGTGGCTTTTTTTATGACTGCCTTATTGCCAAATGAATAAATTACAACAAAAAAATCTAAATTTCAATGAAAACTTTATTTAAAAGTATGCTGATAAAAAAACACTTTTTTTTATCAGCATACTTATCAACATCAAGTTTTTTACTTTTTGGGTTTGAGTTCTCTTTTAGTGTGCAATCCCAAATTTTGAATAAATTATGATACAACATTGCATTTTAACTCTTACTGTATATTAATCCAAAACCATGCAGTATTTTTTAAACTGAATTATATAAATATTATTGTTTACAAATAAAATAATTGAAGAATAAAGTAATAAACTTCTGGTTTATAATAACGTATTTGTGTTCACTATAGTAAAGACAAATTTAAAAAACAATAATAGTTCCAAAAAATCTTAAAAATTGTTAGAGTTTTAGGTTTCATTTATATTTCAGCTTATTTGCAAAAAATTATTGTAATCTATGAAAAAAAATTCATTGG